GCCATTGCACTCCTGCCTGGGTGACAGAGTGAGACTCCAACTCAAAAAAAAAAAAAAAAGAGCTTGCCTTCTGGTGAGGGGCCAGACCTACCCTTAACCAGCTACAGTAGAGCATCGTAAGTGTTCAGCTATTGTTGTTTAGAGAGTACAGGCAGGGCACTTAAAGCAGAATGGGTGTGGGGTTGTCAGGGAAAGCTCTCAGAAGGTGTGGGCCTCAAGCTTGGAATTATAGGACACAGAGGAGTTAGCCCAGAAAGCTCAGGCCAGCATCAGGGACCAGTAAAGGCACAGAGGAGAAAGTCTGGTAGATTCAAGGACCTGGAAGAGTTCTATGGGCAGCACAGAGAAAAACATTCCCTGTGCCTCTTTCATTTCTCTTCTCCAGGTGAGAAGCCATGGAAGGGCTTAATCGGGAGTCATGTTGTCAAGCTGGTTTATTACAAAGCTGCTGAGGCTAGTGTGGAAGACTAGAGAAAGAGATGAGGCCAACAGAGAGTCAGGGCCAGATGACTCAGATGGTAGAGGAGAGGCAGGGAGTTGAGACATTTTATTTATTTATTTTTTGTTTTTTTTTATTGAGTTGGAGTCTCACTCTGTCGCCAGACTGGAGTGCAGTGGCCACTCCCGGCCACCGCAGCCTCAGCCTGCTGGCTCCGGTGATCCTTCCGCCTCAGCCTTCTGAGTAGCCGGAGAGTTGAGACATTTTAAAGGAGACAGACAGGAAGTGCTGAGTTGACAGATAGGGGAGGGTGGAAGTTGATTTCTAGTCTGGTGTGGAGAACTGGGTGGATGGTGTGGGGTTCTCCAGGATGGAAGATATAGAATGTGAAGAAGATTTTGGTGACAGTGCAGGACAGTGGAGAGGGGAGAAGGAGGTGAGTCTGGGAGAGTTTTTAGGGAGTTTGATCAGTCACGCACATGTGAGGGTGATGGTGGAGGGTCTTCTTCCCTGTTGAACCCCTTCAGTTTCCTAGTTCCCCTCTTGCCCCTCAGGACTGAGCTCTCTGTTTTCTGTGATGCCAGTTCCACAGGGGTCATCACTTTGGGTCTCTTGATGAACAGACAGGACTCAAGACCCATCAGCCCTGTTCCCTCTTATCCTTGTTCTCACCTCTGGGGAATAGGAGACATTTGCACTTTCTCTTTCAGACGTAGCTGAGACCAAGAACTCTCCTCTGAAGCAGGATTTCTTAGAAGAAGATCTCTCCCAGGAGATTATAGAGACATTTTCCAAGGATGGCCTCTGGAACTACAATTTTGGAGAAGCCTGTATAGGTGAGAGCTGGTTAGATAGTTTGTTAGAAGATCCAGAAAATCTTCTGAGGTCTGATACCATCACCAACATGGAAAGTCCCACAGAATGTGAGAGTCACGAATCCAGGAGAGGCCTCAGTCCTGTGTCCCTCCTTTCCACAGGAGAAGATTCCATGATACATAATCTTTCCGAAAAGAGCCTCACACCAGCTCAGTCTAAGGAGCATAGGAGTGACTTTGGCTACTACTCAGACCAAAGCCAGCCAGATTCTGTCCAGGGAGAGGAGAAAACATACAAATGTAGCGAATGTGGAAAAAGCTTCAGCCAGAGTTACCATCTTATCCAGCACTGGATTATTCATACTAGAGAGAAACCCAGTGTGCCTCAAGAATATGAAATAAGTTTCAACCAGAGTTCTTACCTTTTTGTGCATCCAGTGACTCACGTGAGCTACAAATCCTATGTGTGTAATGACTGTGGGAAAACGTTTAGTCAGAATAAACACCTTCTGCAGCATCAGAAAACTCACACTAGAGAAAAACTGTGTGGGAGTCAAGACGGTGACCATCTACTCAGTCACAGTGCACAGCCTGTTGAGCGTCAGAAAACTCACACAGGTAGTAAGTCCTACAAATGTAATGAATGTGGCAGGATTTTCAACCGGACCTTTCATCTTACTCGACACCAGAAGACCCACACTCGGAAACGCCACGAATGTGCCAAATGCCAGGCAACCTTCAGTTTGAGCAAACACCTCATTCGACATCAGAAAACTCATATTGCAAAAACTACCTCTGAGTGTCAGGAGTGCGGGAAGACCTTCAGGAAGAATTCACTGCTCATCAAACACCAGGCTATTCATACTGGAGAGAAGCCTTTTAAGTGTAATGAATGTGGGAAACTCTTCAGCCATACCACTACACTAAAGATCCATCAAAGGGTTCATAGTGGAGAGAAACCTTACAAATGCAGTGAATGTGGGAAAGCCTTCTTCCGGAACACTCACCTTAATGAACATCAGCGAATTCATACTGGCTACAGACCCCACAAATGTCAGGAATGTGTCAGGAGTTTTAGCCGGCCCTCACACCTAATTCGACATCAGGCCATTCATGCCACAGAAAAGCCCTTCAGCTGTGCTGAATGCAAGAAGACCTTCAGCCATAACAAACAGCTTGTTCAGCACCAGAAAATGCACACTATGAAAACCTCCTTTGAATGTCTGGAGTGTGGAGAACGCTTCATTTGTAGCTCAACCCTGAATTGCCACCAGAGCATTCACGTCAGAGAAAAGCAAGGATCTGACGTGAGTGAGAAAATCTTGGATCAGAACCCAGAACACAAAAAGCATCTAAGGCTTAGCGAGAAGCACTTTAAGTGCAACAAATGTGAGAAAACCTTTAGCTGCAACAAATACCTCACTCAGCATGAGAGGATTCACAGCAGGGTGAAGCCATTTCAGTGTGACCAGTGTGAAAAAGCTTTTGGTCAAAGTTCTCAGCTGATTCATCATCAAAGAATCCACTCTGGGTCGAGGCCATATGAATGTAGTGAGCTTGGGGAAGCCATCACCAACAGCACTTCCGTGGTGAAACTTCAGTCCTCCCACACAAATGAACAACCCTTTAAATGTAACAAATGTGGAAAGACATTCAGCCAAAGCACATGCCTCTCAGAACATCAGTTAATTCACACTAAAGAGAAACCCTTTAAATGTAGCGAATGTGACAAAGTCTTCACCCAGATTAACTACCTTGTTCAGCATCGGAGGACTCACACCAGAAAGAAGCCCTATGAGTGCAGCGAATGTGGGAAAACATTCCAGCAGAGCTCATGCTTTTCTAAGCATCAGAGAGTTCACACAGGTGAGAAGCCCTATGAATGTGGTGACTGTGGAAAAGCCTTTAGCCTGGGCGCTCAGCTTATCCGTCACCGAAGAGTTCACACCGGAGAAAAACCTTATGTTTGTCAGGAATGTGGGAAAGCCTTCAGCCAGGGCTCGTGCCTTTCTATTCACCAGAGAGTTCACACCGGAGAGAAGCCCTATGTGTGTGGCAAATGTGGGAAAGCCTTTGCCCAGAAAGCAAATCTAACGCAGCATGAGGTAATTCACACTGGAGAGAAGCCTTACTCCTGCAACGTGTGTGGCAAAGCATTTGGCCTCAACACTCATCTCAACCAGCACCAGAGAATTCACACCCAGGCGATTCTTTATCAGTGTCAGAATTGTCCAAAAGCCTTTCGGTGCTGCTCAAGTCTCAGGCGTCATCAGCAAATACACAAGTAACAAGCAGCAATACCACCTGTCGCTACTGGGTGGCAGCAGAGTCCCAGACATCTGAGACCATGCTCATCTGAGTAGAAAATCAAACCATCCTCTTGCAAGCTTCCCTCCAAATATATACATCTCTTTATCAATAAAGATTGATTAGAAAGTTTGCAAACCTAAGTTTCATTAGAACAGTGAAAACACAAAAATTGAGAAGCTATATATAAGTCAGGATTCAGAACTAGACTCTGGAGTCAGTCTGCTTAAATCCTACCTCTGCCATCTACTACCTAAGTGACCTTGGGAAAATCAGAAAAAATTTCTCAGGCCTCAGTGTCCCCATCTGTAAAATGGGCATTATAATAGTTACCTACCTCAGGGCTGTTGTGAGGATTAACTAAATAAATGTGACGCACTTAGAACTGATGCCCAGCACATGGGGATTGACCAAATGTAAGCAACAAATGCTTGTCAACTGTAACACAAGTATAGTCCAAAAGAAGAATTAGTACCCTTTTGTCTCTCTTTACTCCAGTTAATGTTCTCATAATGTACAGCTTTTAAGCAAGTTTTTTTAAAAGGTTTTTTCCGGTCCTTTATTCTTTGTAAATGTCTGGCCCTTTTTGTTCCTCCATCTCTCTGTCCTAGTTGTTATTTTGTTGTTGTTTTTCTTAATGCCCAGAAAGCCAAGAAGAACATGTAGACTCCTCACCTCCCAAAGAGAACTCCACCTCTCACATACCCATGGTGCCTCTTCCCATTGTTTTCCTCCATTTAAAGCTATTTTTTAATATAGTATGATAACCCAGTTTTTCATGGGAGTTAATGGCACTGAAAACACAACTGGATTCAGTTGGGGAAGCTGCACTGATCAAGGTGCCGCTACACACAAAACCTCTACCAAAGATGTGCATGAGGATGGAAGTTGTGTGTGGAAGTGGTTGCTGAAATGTTCATCATTCACCATTTATCCAAGATGGCCACTTGCCAGGCAGTTTGCTAGGTTCCGGGTGGGTAACATCAATACCATAAACCCTGCCCATGTGCTGAAGCTTCTAGAATTGAAAAGGAAAACAGCCCCTTTTTCATAGAAGATTGCTGTTAGTCGACAAGTGACCTCTTAAAACTGCCACATTCCCTTGTTGCAAGAAATTCTGGGACCACCAAGGATTTTTGGAGAGTCCAGTGAGAGAGAATCACATGACTAGCTCCCCCTTGACAGTGCCTTAGCTCTGGGCTTTGGTGCCCTACCACTAAGTGACTCAAGCATATGCTTTCTGGAGCACAACAATCTTATGAAAAGCTTTGGGCACTGATACTTCTAATACCTTTCATAATTTAGGTGCTTAAAATAGTTCAGGGGTGCCGGGCTCGGTGGCTCAGCCTGTAATCCCGCGCCTTTGGGAGGCTGAGGTGAGTGAATTGCCTGAGCCCGCGGGTTCGAGACCCGCCTGGGCAGCGAGACCTCATCTCTACAATAAATCAAAAAATCAGCTGGGCGTGGTGGTGCATGCCTGTAATTCCAGCTACTCGGAAGGCTGAGGTGGAAGGATCGCCGGAGCCCAGCAGGCCGAGGCTGCGGTGGCCGGGAGCGGCCAGTGCACTCCAGTCTGGGCGACAGAGTGAGACTCCAACTCAAAAAATAAAAAGTAAAAAAAGAGTTCAGGTGTGAGTGTTTTGTACTCTTGGGCTTTTTAAACCTTGTACCTTGAGTTCTGTTTGAGTTTGTAGGTGAAACTGGGAACCTGTTGGCTGTCCATGAGGCCTATACCGCAGTGGGAAGAAGCATGCTGTTTTATAAACGGCCAAAACATTGAACTCCCTGCACATGGTCCCTGCCCTCTGGAATTCTGTCTGGTCTTGTAGGCATGTTATATTCCAAAGGGGGGTACAAGTGTTGCAGGGCTAGAACACAAGTGTACGTGTGTTCAGCAAGAGTTTTGACACCTATGACAGAGATTAGGGCCTCTGGAAAATTGGCAGCCATTGCGAGTGGCGGGGGGGTAGTCTCTAATTCATCACCCATGCTGCTTTGGGCCAGGGTAGAAACATCTGTTTCATCTGTGCACATTGGTTTGTTCTTGAATTAAAGTTTCATGTCTAAAAGTTTTGGCTTCTCATCCTTGTGCTATACAACTGGCCAGATGCTGGGCACTTAAGTTCTTATGGGGGAGGGCTTGTGGTGAACAGTGCCCCTTCAGAGGTGGCAGCTGAGTCTTTTCTCACAGTCTAAGCGGGTCATGGACCCCTGGGGAAGCACACAATTTCAGGCAGTCCTCAGATGCATTGGCCATGCCACTTCAATCTCGGTGCAATGCTAAGTGGCCAAGGAGAGCATGGCTGTGGGTGGTTCACTCCTCATGAGACAACAGGCCTCAAACTCAGGCAATATTTTTCAGTAGCATTCAGTACTGCATGCAATTTTGCTTGCTTAGTATTTATTTCAATTTCCCTTCCCCCCCCCCTTTTTTTTTACCTTAGTGACAAGAGATACTTGTTAACTGCTCATGGTAGTAGAAAGTCCTCTTAAACTGACAAGTTTAGAATGAACTGTGCTGATTTCAAGGAAAATACTAAAAGTACACATCTATGGCAAAAAGTTAGTGGTGGATGACTGTGGCTTGGGGGACACTTAGTTCACTAGGCCTGACATCCCTTTCAATGGCATATTCTTTCAGTCTGGATAAATGAGATGATGTCAGAGCAACAGATTTCGGTGTCACCTCTGGCTGAACAGAAATTTCTCACTCGTCACATGTCCACTGTGGGTTGACAGAGTGGAGGGGTCTGCTCCGTCTACTCGAGAGACCAGAGTGACAGAGGACCCACCATTTAAAACACATGCAAGCGCTGCATATCACTTCCATTCATGTTCCCTTGGTCAGAACTAGGATTTCAGCCATTATATTCAGAAGATTTTCAAACAAAAATAGTTAAGAGTTTCTGAGTTAATGATTTTTTAGTTTCTTCATATTTTTCCAGACTTTCCAAAGTAAATAGGTCCTGTTTTCTATTTCAAGAGTAATGTATTCTTTTAAAAGACTCCAGCAGTTGGGCTCGGTGGCTCAGTCTGTAATCCCGTGCCTTGGGAGGCTGAGGTGAGTAGGATTGCCTGAGCCCATGGGTTCGAGACCTGCCTGGGCAACTTGGCGAGACCTCATCTCTACAATAAATCAAAAAATTAGCCGGGTGTGGTAGTGTGCACCTGTAGTTCCAGCTACTTGGAAGGCTGAGGCAGAAGGATCGCCAGAGCCCAGCAGGTCGAGGCTGCAGTGGCCGGGAGCTGCCACTGCACTCCAGTCTGGGTGACAGAGTGAGACTCCAACTCAAAAGATAATAAATAAATAAATAAAAGACTCCAGCACTACAAAAGCTTACAGAGTCGGGCATGGTGGCTCACACCTGTAATCCCAGCACTTTGGGGAGGTGGAGGTGAGAGGATAGCCTAAGCCAGGCGTTCAAGACCAGCCCGGGCAACGTGGTGAGATCTCGTCTCTACAATAAAAATTGTTAAAAAATTGGCCAAGCGTGGTGGAGACTGCAGTGGCTGTGTGGCTCAAGCCTGGGCAACAGAGTGAGACTGACTCAAAAAAAAAAAGAGAAAAGAAAAATAGTATGCAGCCATTAAAAATGAAGATGCAAGCCGGGCTCGGTGGCTCAGCCTGTAATCCCGCGCCTTTGGGAGGCTGAGGTGAGTGGATTGCCTGAGCCCACGGGTTCGAGACCCACCTGGGCAGCGAGCCCTCATCTCTGCAATAAACCAAAAAATCAGCCGGGCGTGGTAGTGCATGCCTGTAATTCCGGCTACTTGGAAGCCTGAGGCGGAAGGATCGCCAGAGCCCAGCAGGTGAGGCTGCGGTGGCCGGGAGCAGCCACTGCACTCCAGTCTGGGCGACCGAGTGAGACTCCAACTCAGAAAAAAATGAAGATGCACATATAGGTATAATACGTATATTTTTGTATAATATGTGTACATTTTGTATTGTTATGGGAAAGTGTCCACATTATATCAAGTCAGAAAAGTAACCTCTAAAATCATGTTTTAGTGTGATTATACCACATAATTATACCATATATAATCAGTTTCATAAAAACAAAAAGGGAGATTCATATCTACAGAAAAAGTGTAGGACTTTTGTTCACAATGAATGAGTGTTACTTCCATCACGAAATAAGTCCCAGAAGATTAGAAGAAATTCCTGGGCAAAGCCTTTAAAATATGTTCATTGTTAGCCCAGATGAGGACGGTGAGACCCAGCCCCAACACTACATGAGTGACACTGACACGGAACTTCCGGTGAATCACTGGCAACATGCACGGGGTCACAGAAGTGTTCTTCCTTTGACCTCGTGACCTCTTGCCAGAATTTCACCCAGAAAAAGGCCAGGCACTTATCCTTTCCATAGCAAGGGTGTTCCATGCTACATTTACAATAGCCAAAACCTAGAAACAACCAACACATCCAACAAGGGACTGAATAAGAAGTTGGTTGAATAAACAAACTATATGACACTGCAAAACATCAGGTTCTTAAGGATTTTCTAAATGATATATTAAATAATTGACACTCAGCCGGGCTTGGTGGCTCAGCCTGTAATCCCTCGCTTGGGGAGGCTGAGGTGAGTGGATTGCCTGAGCCCGCCGGTTTGAGACCCGCCTGGGCAACTTGGCAAGACCTCATCTCTACAATAAATCAAAAAAATTAGCCGGGCGTAGTAGCGCACGCCTGTAGTTCCGGCTACTTGGAAGG